CTTTGAAAGAGCAGCATTATTTTCACCCTTGTATGTAGTTTTGCGCATCGGATGACTTCTATTTTCCATGTAATCAAAATTTCACCTGAAATTTAATTTTAAAATTCAATTCTAATTATTAAATATCTAATCTTTCTTTTAAAATAAATCATAACATTTGTTAAATAAAGATGTTAATCGATTTTCAACAGGGTTTATAATTGCAAATGAATGTATAAAGGAATGAAGCAGCGTCGCCAATCCTGGACTTTGGTTTGAGAAAAAAGAAAAAAATGGAAAATGTAGTGAGACGTTTTTTTTTATGTGAGAGGCCAGGGGAAACTAGTCTATCATGCGGGTGATTTAATCTCGGTGCACAGCTAATCTCAACTGCACGGTAAAAAAAAAAAGAGGTAATGGAAAAGCACGGTGAGAAACACTTAAAATTAATTCAATTCTAATTATTGAATATCTAAATCTTTCTTTTAAAATATTCATAACATCTGTTTTAAAGATAAAAGTAAAAATTGGAGCTAATAAGAACAAACAATAACCTTTATGATAACGTTTTCGACAGTTGGTGATGAATTAGCCTTTCTAACAACGACAAGGAAAAGTTTGACCTGTGAGGGTCAACTTAGATGCTTTCAAGTGCTTCGTGTACAATGATCCGGAAACTCTCTCTCCCCAAACACAGCTAAGTTACCACAACCCATTGTGCAACCCCACAACAGCACCGAACAAAACAAAACAGATACCAGCTCACGGCAAAAGTTTAACCAATAACAATGCCCCTGCAAATTTCTGCAAAAAAGAAGGTGGGGGACGCAAGGTCCATAGTCCCTGTCCTGTGTAGCATTAAGGTACATTTATTTCTTCCCTGGTAAGTGCAAATTTTTGCATTAAAGAAAACAGCTCAGTGCCGGTCGGCTGTCGGCGCCCGCTTGCAAAAAAGGCTTGAGGCCCGCTTCCGCCTTCCTGTCATACCGCAGTTTGATGTCTATTGATATCTGCATTATGTAGGAAAAAAAATTGAGTCAACACAGCTTTAAAACTCTTGATAAACGTGACCGTCAATCTGTTAGACTTCGACATCAGCTTCGAGCTTTGGCTCTTTTGGCGACAGATATCCGCATGTGTAGTTGTGTCCCTTTTCTCGGAGGGAGCCACTTCTGCTCCGCGAAGTTTCCTCTTAACAATAATATTCTTTGGCCTGGCATTCTCTCCTATTACACGTATTCTCCGGGACAAAAACCAACATTCTTCGATAATTCGTCTGGCAGAAATAACGACACGAATATTACCCATTCTGCACGTTCCTTCCTTCCCTTCCCGGGCGTCGGAGAGCTGCGCATTTCACACCATTCGCATAACTCAGTGACGTGCGTCTACTCTAAAATTTGCATAAATTCTGACCACTCCTTCTTGGTGTTGCATTTTTAGTGTCGAGCAGTGTAATTTATCTCGAAAATTGAGAAGTACCGGAGCGGGGTTCCGGCGCAGTTTAAGCTCTGCCAAAGGGCCAATTTGCCCAGAAGGGCCATTAATTTCGTTTTAGCATTTTGCATTGATTCACTATAAACGGCGAATCACTTTTTAAATTGTTGTCACCAAGTATTAGAACCCTGTACTATATTTAAATAATGAAAAATTTGCATTAAGGCCCGTTTCCATTGCTGCGTATGCGTTGCGGTGCGTATGCGTTTCTCCAATCAGCGAGCGAATTCACTTTGATTGACATCTGCAATCCGGTCGGTGTGCGGTGACGGATGACATACGGATGGAGTTCAACAATGTTCAACTTCTATCCGATGTCTGCGATGCATTGGGGCACGGGAAAAAAGGGCAATCAGGTGCAGTCATTAAAATTAATGGCGGCAGAAATGCGATGAAACGTCGCTAATAGGGAAAGAATGCTTTGCTAAAAATACTTATTTTGAATAACATTACAGCGAGAAATCTGCGTGCTGAAAAAGACAGCAATCTGCTGAATTTAGTTAAAAAAAGATAAGAAACAGATACTGCAACTACAGTTTGTCGTTCAAGAAATTCAGTTCAAGAAAATCAGCGGCAAAAATTTAATTCCAAGTCCATGAAATAGAAAATTTGTTCTATAATTTTTTTTAGTTCTGCTACTCATTTATTTTATAATGAAAATGAATCTGACTATATCAAACTCCTATGCAAATTAGATATGTTTTAAAAGATTGCTATTTTTTTCTTGAAACAGGTAATAACTACAAATTTTTTATAAATTAAATTGATAGCCTTTTAAAAACTCCAGTTCATTGAAGAGTATGTTAAACTGTATTCCTTATAAATATATCTTTTTGGGCTAACATTATTTGTAAGCACATGAAATATTTGTACGCCCGTTTAACTTCAATCGGAACGCCACTTTAAAAGGCAATGATTTTTTGTAAAAAATGTAACTAGAAGCTGAAGAACAAACTCTGGTGAATTTTTCAGACGATAGCACACGAAAAAAAAAAAAAAAAAACTTAAATTTTAAGAATTTTGATTTACTTGATGATGTATATAAGCCAAATATGCTACGACTCACGTGCAATCCTAGCTTAGTGGTAAAGCTGATAGTAACGATGTTAATTTTTGAGTCGTGAGTTCGATTCAACGCTTTTTGCACCCTGTCTGCAAGTTTCTTCCTTTTTATTCAAATTTGAAATATTCGTTTTTTATAATTTATTTCTATTATTATATGCATTAAATATTGTTTTATTTATGCTCTTTTTATTTAAATTTTCCCGCAAAAGTTTGAAAATTATATAATACTAATTTTAAAGCATATCTGTGCATATATATTTGAATTTAACAAACATTCTCTATTCGTTAAAAGCAAATTTAAAGTTTTAATTAATTTAAATGAAATTTAATGCAAACAAAGAAATGATTAATTATTGCTGCGAACTAATCTATAATATATTTAAATTCTGAGAGTATATGTAAATCAAGTGCAAGTATCAAAATCATGAATAAATATATAATTCCAAAAATTTATAAAAATGCATAAATGTAATAGGATTAGATTAATCCTAAAAAATTTATAAAAATGCATAAGTGAATAATAGATAAATAAATTTTTGGAAATTATATGTTTATCATGGATTTTGATACTTGCACTTGATTTACATTGCTCTCAGAATTTAAATGATATTTTATATTAGTTCGCAGCAATAATTAATCCTTATTGTTTTCATTAAATTTCATAACTTTTAATTTGCTTTTTACGAATCGAAAAGGTTTGTTTTAATTCAAATTTCATTCCTTGCAGCAATAGCGCAAGAGAATTATTAAATTTAATTTATTTTGAAACCCTGCAGATTATATTATATATATATTTTCGTTTCACTTTTATGTGAATGTATATATACATATGCTCAGACTTTGGGATGTTTACGACCTAAACTTCATTCCAATTAACATGAGACAGTATTAATGCCCTAAACAATTTTTTAACAAAAAATTGCTTTTAAATTCAGTCTCCTCCAGCAGAAGCGCGGGGAATTTAATAATTAATTAAACATTTCCATTTTCTTTACCTAATGTGTATATATAAAGAGAAATATCTTATTTTTATAACTTCTTTATAAAAGAGATGAATTAAAAATGTTTTTTAAATTAAAAATATATTTAGGGATTATGCATAAAATATAATGCCCTAGGCATTTTAAAACAAACGAGATTTCTAATAAATTATCCAGCTATGACCCTGAAGTCACAAGCATAGCAAATTTTTGTGTAAATATTGTGAACCTTTCTTTACAGTTGCTCTGTACTTTTAAAGTACCAACTATTTTTAATCCTTTAATTTTTTTTATTTTATTTATTATTTGTTTACTTTTTCACTAACAGTACATTATAGTTTTTAATAATATATATATTATTTCATAATATTTAAGGCTTCTAGAAACACATTTTTTTTTTAATTTACTTCAGCTTCTATGGAATTAGTGATGTTCATAATATGCATTATAACCTTATTTATCTAAAAATTGCTAGCGTACTTTACTTTCGCAGTTCATAAGCAGAAATTAAAATTTCCAATAACATAAAATTTAGTAAACAAAACTTTTCTGTGTTTTACGTCAGGATCCATATCAAATCCAAAACAAACAATACTCCCTTAAGCGGGAAAAATTCAGATGTTCGCGTCGTAACTCGCGAACTGCTTGTTTGGCGCCAAAATATTACAGTGACACCTAGCGGCGGAAATGAAAATATTTTACGGATACGCAGCAGTGGAAACGCTTGTACGGATGCCGTAGGCGTGTCTTCAATTGACGCAACGCGTTCGTACGCAGTAGTGGAAACGAGCCTTTAATAATATATGTATGTTTCTCGCACTGTGAGAAAACAACGTTACCTAGTGCCATTAAATTTTGAATAACGTACGTTTCCACCTGAATATGGGCATCTGTAAGCCTAAATTTGGAATTTGTTTTATTATCTATTTCATGTTTTTTAAGCATTTTTGAGTTTTTTATTACGAAACTATGATTTCAAAGCGAAAAATGGCAACACTGTAAGGGGAAATTAAAATTCTTTGTCTCAAGCGCGCGAAACTGTATATCAGGAATTCTTAAGATAATGATATTTTAAATATTTTGTGATATAGCTATTGAACTGAATTTTATGGTTTAAGTGCGAAGAACATTTAAAAAATAAAGGTAACACACAAACAGTTTATGGTAACCCACCTCGTTCAAAAGACCGATTTCGACTGAAAAACTCATTTTTTTTAAATTTAATATTTTTTAAGGCCATATTCTTAGCTATCGAAAACAGCTTTTCTCTTCTTGATATGTTAATTAGAAGTGGAGATATACCCGTTTTTCTGAGATACAACAGACCGGAAGTAACTGTCTGGCACACCGGAAGTTAAAGGACAAATTAAAGGTGCAACTTCCACTTTTTTCTGTGTTATATATAAATTAAATAATTTTAAGCCTTTCGATATGTTTGGAGAATCTGGCAAAGTATTTTCATTATGTATTTTCTCTTTTACGTTGGCAACAACGTTTCAAACTTATTGTTTTGTTTACATTGAGATTTCGGTATTTCGGTTTTGTGTACAAATTTCCTGCACTAATTTATCAGCTAAAGATTCATTTTTCTGCACTTTTTTTATTCTGTTTAATAATCGAAAGTTCGAGAATGCCAAAATTTATACGTAGTCATTCAAAAAAGCGAAAATTTTACAGCGACTAATACACTAAATATGTGACTGCTGATGCTGGTAATCACAATGAAACTGAAACATTTGTCTATGAAATTATCTGGAACATTTATTGCAAATGAAAAAAGTGATTTTGATGAATTAAAAGGCAATCATAACGTTAAGGTTTCTATTCTTTTAAATGTTATACTCTCACTTTGTCACATATAATGCAGGAGCATTTTTAGTGAATATTTGTGTATATAATGTCATGTAACAATCTGAAAACTTTAAACGTGATCTTTGATTATTTGTTTTTTTCATGATTTCTGTTCACGGCAACCATGATAACTCTAAACGTTCATAATAGAATCACTTGAAATTTTGCACACGTTTTATACATTATTATGCATAATGTAGACTAGCAGTTAAAAAATTAATCCCATAGAATTTAAGTTACATTATTTTTTCTTCAATAGCGTGTGTATTTTTTTAAAAAATTTTTTAAAAAAATACTTTCTCCTGAGAAAGTAATAATATTAACGTATATTTTTTCTCAGGGAGAAAGCTACGAAAATGCTATTTTGCAGAGTAGCATTGACAAAAGTAACTTCGTCAGAAACAGTGAGTGATTGGTATTCTTACTGTCGCGAATTGGTTTCTGACAGAATGCTACGTGCAATGCATTCATCGAAAATTGGCGGTGTCGGCCGCGTGGTTGAAATAGACGAAACGAAAATAGGCAAAAGAAAGTACAACGTTGGAAGGGTCGTTGAAGGAACTTGGATAATTGGAATGTTTCAAAGAGAAACCAAGGATTTTCGTCTAGAAATATGTCCAGAAAACAACAGATCTGCGGCGACCCTGATACCGCTAATAACAAAGCACGTGGCTCAGGGAACCACAATCATTACTGATGAATGGCGGGCGTACGCATCTTTAGCCAAAAATGGGTATTATGTGCACCAGACTGTAAATCATTCAACCCATTTTATTAATCCGGCAACTGGCGCACATACTCAGTCTATTGAGTCCAACTGGAGACCTCTGAAAGTTAAACTGCAGAAAAGTGGTCTTCATAAGGAAAACCTAGCAGATCACCTTCTCGAATATTTATTTCGGCACGAAATAAGTCACAACAATAAGGATCCATTTATAGAAATTCTGGCTGCCATCAAGGATTGCTTTCCAGTGACATAAAATCTCCGGCAATTTCCTTAACAACACAGTTTTTTGGAAAAAAAAAAAAAAAAAAAGGCCCTTTTCAGGGCTATACAAATTTAACAAAAGATATATGACATAATGCTAATCTTGAATATTGCTATATATACTTTAATTTATATGCTTTATAATGTTTAACTCATTAATATTATGTCTATTCCTGCTAAGTCTAATTTTTATCCTTTAAATAGCATGTTTCACTGTTTGATATTATTTTTTGCCAGCTAACTCTAATTTATATGTGTTTAATATGTTTCTTCATAATTTTTATGCTTTAAATATCATATTTAACCTTTTGATATTTTTTTCTGCGGCTAACACAAATTTAGATGCGTTTAATATGTTTTTTTTTAATTTATATGCTTTAAACATCACGGATCACCCGTTTAATTATCTTGCAATATGTTTATTTAATATATATAATAATATAACTTAATTTCTATGCTTTAAATATCATGTTTAAACTTTTGATAATTTTTTTCTGCGTTTTATATGTTTCTTTAATTTGTATTACGGTTAACCTTTTTAAATATCTTGTAACGTAACTGTACACCGCTAAACTTATGGCCGATTAGCCGTTGACGAGCTTGGCGAGTAAATACACTTCGCCGCCAACGGATCCTCTGCCGAAGCGCCAACGGATCCTCTCCGGAAGAAAACCCAAAAAATTTAGTGTTTACTGACATATATGACCTTATTTTGCTAGTGAATCAATATTTTCAAATTATTCTGGTTCAATACATGTTTTCTAAGTAGTATGTATAAAATAATGCCGAAAATAGATTTTTATCAACAATATTTTCCTGTAAGTGATGGTTGATATTTTTATTAATTTTGATATAAAATTTTCAGTTTTTTGAGTACATTTCTCAAAATGATGATTTTTTAGCTTTTGCAGTGATTACATTTAAGTTTGAGTACAATTCATTAAGAAATCACTTAAATTCAAAAATATAACAAACATTTTGAAAAACGCCCTTCGAATGAGGTTGGTTACCTTAAAAAATCACCCCTTTGGGCGTAATATAAAATCTCAAAGCCTTCAGATTTTTTCCTTTCTTTTTGTATATTTTTTATCACTTTTCTCAATTTATGTCAGACATACAGAATTTCCTTTGTGTTAAATAATTTTACTCAATTGCACGATAATGCATGTTTTGCGAGAATGAATTGTTACGGTAAGTTAGTCTTAGTTTTGATATGCAATAAGATTATATTTATAGTTTTAATTCACAGTGGTTTTATCAGACTGCAGCATTTGCCTTGTTTATTTTGTCTTTCACCCGAATTTGAAGTAAAACTTCCATTACTTTCCTCTGTCATGACAGCATAAGAATAAATTATCCTAGGCCACCAATTTGAGGCTTTCGCTGGCGGGTTTCCCAAAATAATAATTACATACTTTTCTTATTTAATAAAAAACAAACACAAAAAAAATTCAATGATACATTTAAAATCAAATTTTTGGTTCTTCTCCCTCCCGTTTAATTGTAGCTATTTGGAACTACTAAAAAAAGAACTGTAACCTCCACACCACTTGAGATTACAAATATTATTACAAACATAAAAAAATATACTTAAAAATATGCATATGTACATAAGAAAATGAAAAGAAACTGACATTTGGACTATTATAAATTCATAGCATGCAACAGTATGCAAAGCGCCAACCTTATTATATACTTTATTTACCCGTGCTCTGTTTATTATTACTAGTAGTAGTTTCTTGTAAACTGTATGCTAAATCTTAGGGCATGTTACTTATAAATATAGTTCACTGCAGAGTAAAGTAACTTAAAACCACTAAGAAGACAAAAATTTGAATCATTTACTAAAAAAAAAAAAAAAAAAAAAAAAATTGATGGGCCAAAAAAATTTCAAAAAGTCTAATATTTTATTTTTAATGAATAAAAATATTTGGGAAGAGGCATGCTGTGAATATATACCTTTTATGTGACATATTTTTTTTTTTTTTTTTGCTGTGAATATATATCTTCTATGTGATTTATTTTGTTACTGTGAATATATACCTTTTATGTTAATTTTATTACTGTGAATATATATTTAAGCAAATTTTCACTGTAAAAGGCAAAATCATTTTGAACTATTGTTAATTTTAAAAGTGTTTAGTTTTTGTTGTTCCAGTACAACAGTTTTATGTGAACGTTTTTCAAAAAAAAGAAAAAGAAACTATATAAAATAAAAGCAAAATCACTTAAAGCAAATTATTTTTATTAACATCATGGTACATAATAAAACTCTAATCACTGTACGTATACAAATAACACATAAATGTATCAACACAAACCATGAAATTTTTTATTTATTTACTTTTTTTTGGGGGGAGGGGGGCACTTGCTTTGGGTTTCTTATTTTATTCATTAGGCATAAACAGTAAAAAAATAATTGAACAGAAATTAATGTGTTTAAATGTTACAGTTTGCATATGAAGGTTATTTTAAAACATAACAATTACTAAAAGTGATTCCATAATAGCATTTTTATATTTCTCCTAAAATAAACTAGGATATTTTCCATTTGTTCGAGATTTCCGAGAAAGGAAAATGTAGCGATCACATGGTGGTATGCTTATGGTGTTTCTCGGTATGTAGTTGCATGCTCATGCTATTAGCATCGACTTCTGGGAAAGAGAATATTCGATTGCCATGTAACAGACCCAGGAAATCCCAAGATCATTATCACCTTCAAAAGTTAGAAAATTTGTGCGCTGTCTGCACTTCTCATGGGTACTAGTATATGGTGATTCGAGGAAACATCAAACATCATTAAGTGAGGATGCCACCACGTGATCATTACAAATGTATTCCAATAATAGGCTGACAAGGGCATGGAATCAGAACATCACATGTTGTTTTTCGCAGTGGCGTTAGCAAAGGAGGGGCGGCATTTTATGTGCAAAACATTGTTTTCATAGGATCCGCGACCATGAGCACAAACATACATGCGTCATTTGGATCGAATTATTCTCAAAACAGGTTGCAAAGATGGGGATGTTCTTTCCATCAAGCATATAAATTCTCTCTTTCTGGAGTAGAGGATTTTCACATTCCAACAAGTAATAATGCCCCTTTTGTAAGAGTCTATGTTTTGGCAGAATGCCAGCTGAGGTTGCGTTTGAGACGGTCGAACTATATTTCAGATTTTACAAATATAAATAAGAAGGCAGCACCCTACTTCTGAGCCATCTATGATCCATTAACTTTAAAAAGATTAACAATAACTCTTCAGATACAACCTCATCCAGATTAAAAAAGATTGAGTTTTAGAGTTGTTTGGTTTCAGAAATGGGGGAAAACCCTTTCCATTTTCACAGCAGAAGTTAAGCAAAAACTTTAGATGCAACGAACAATAAAAAATTTATGAATTAAAAAAATGGTACTTTTCCGTTTCGCCGGCACAAATTTCGCCAAGCAGACTTTATTGGCAACAACATGCAGTATACACATAAAAATTGTTAACAAATATAATCTAAGGATTCTTAAAGAACAAACAAATGTAATCTAAGGGTTTTTTTTATTTTGAAGGCATAAATATTTTAATATCGTTTAAAATTTTGTAAAAAAACCAATAAATAAAGACAATAAATTTGTAAAAAGACATTAATTTAAGAATGTATTATGCTTTCATGGTCAACATCCTGATTCGCTGGTTCATATCACGTGACCCCAAGTAATCTCATCTCACGTAAACTATGCTACAAAAATCTAATTCTCTCAGCTATTATCTACATTAATTTCAAGTTAAATCTTAATTCAGAATGCAAGTGTAAATGCAAGAATTATTTCAATTCGTACAAATAGCTTACTCAGAAATTATGTAAGACCGCAGTGGTTTACTTCGCTAGTGCATTCTTAATGGAATTGATGAATTTAACTCTGCCTTTTCTATATTTCCGCTTTGGGGTGAGCAGTGTGCTTGCATCCTAATTAACTTAATTACCACGAATGGCCTTAAGGCAAAAAATTGAACTATCTGAGTAAAAATTCTATGTAATTGTAGGCCAGTATTGAAAGAAACAATCAATCTGATAAGAAATGGCTGCGATTTGTTTTTAAAATGAGGTATAAAAGGTTACCAGCGAGGTTATTCCGTTTGGCATCAGTTACACCATTATTGGCGGCTTTATCGCCTGCGCCGGCAAAACGGAAAAGTACCAAAAAATCTTTGAATAACTTTTTCTGAAAGCAAGCAAATTTAATAGCAATACGACTTTTGTTCAAGATTTATGAAAGGAAATGGCAACAAAATATTATCATAACTGCTTTTGACCCTCTGAGTGGCATGGGTTTTTGGATTTGCTAATAAAGACATATACTGAAACAGCATTTAAGAGTTAAATTTGTGTCTTTTTTCATAAACTTCCTCAAGCCAAAGGCTGGGACACATAGTATGTCCCAGCCGTAGTTAATATGATCACCATCATTCAGGAGATTCTAAGTACTTTTTAACCCAGTAGTAATTTTTAAACTATTAATCTGACATATATGTCCCATTAATAGTCAAAGGGTTAAAGAAAGAAAAAAAAAAAAATATTCAAACTATAAACTAATATATGTCATGACCAGATAAAAGTGGTCATGCCATTCAGAAGGTTAAAAAGCAACATCTCCACAAGATGCAGATTAACTGTTAGAACAGAAAATTAAGAAGAATAACCTGTCAAACCATACAATGAAATTTACAAACCTTTCAAATTTCCAACTATAAAAAAAGTCCTATAAATCTTCACACTTTTTTTTAAAATATCACACACAATTGACATTTTAGCATATTAATGTGCAGTTTGCACCTAAGGACCTTGCTACAGTGGTGGAAATATTTCCCCGCCTTTCTGGACATGAAGTACATTATAATTCGCAGCTGATGGCGATTTATCATTTATGTTGCTAAAAACATGCAAATTTAAATCCTTTAAATACAGATGTGTAACTGAGAGTTCAGAGTTGGACTGTTAAGACTTAACAGAATCGTAAAAGGCTTGCAGGTGCAAAACAATAAATGCTGTACCAGTTTAATTTTGAACTAGAACTTATTCTTATCCTCCCTCCCCCCCAAAAAAAAATGCCCAATGACACATCAGCCTGTTGGTTTTGTAAGATTTTTTGAAAAATATCCAAATTTATCAGAACTACATACATCAGCATCAAATTCATTGAGCTTGCATGGTAATGAAGCAAGCGATGAATCTTATGTTGATGATAAGGAGAAAATGCAACACAATTTTATAAATATTCTCAATTTAATCATTTTTTTGCCAATTTTATTATATGTGGATTTGACTTACCTTAATAATAAACAAAATCTAACTTTATGAAAAAATGTTTTGGCTTTCAGACTAGAAGGAAAATCTTTGGTCTGAAGACTAGAAATAAAATAACACCGCCATTTTAAAGAGACAAATTGTGCTTTACTTTTATTTTAGAATACATATTTTAAAATAGAAAAAGCAAGATCATACTAATGTTGAATTAAATTTAATCCAAAAATTAAGATTTAAGATCAATCACCTCATTCAAAATATTTCCAAATTTAACTACACATAAATATATCTGAAACACAGAATACAAATTTCTGAAAAAATAGTCAAACATAAACAAGGCAATAAGTTTAGCAGCTTCTCTGTAAACAGAAACAAGACAACATGACACTGAAACTATACAAAAAGTAAGAAGTAGATTGGCACAGATTTTAATACAGACCTCTATCTTCCATAAACAAAGATAAAAATCTATGGCAATCAAATTTTATTTAAGATGAATTTTACAAGAAAATAGCTTCTTAAAACTGCACATAGAATTAAAAAAAAGAACGATGAAACAATGTGGAGAAACAAAAGCATCACTACACAAGGTAAATTTTAAGAGCATCTGGAAGTAAGCAAATTATTTACTTATAGCACACTTTCTTTTAATACAACTATTTCTCTGGATTATTTCTCCGTTGCTGTTATAAATTATAATATAATTCATAAAATACATTTCAATAAACTAAAATATATAAAAAATAAGTGGACTATAAACTCGAGCATGATGTACACGATTTTAAAAATATATCAAAATTAATGGATAATTTTACAAAAATATCAATCTTGTATACACACAGAACAATAATTCTTTTCACACTATCTGACGATGGAGAGAGTGACAAACACATCTGAACAATATGGAAAGGTATATATGCTGGTATAAGATGGGATGCGATTGTGCAAAACATATATTTTAGTTCTCTACGATTACATTTAATAAACACCATAAAATTGTCAAGGCACATATATAATTGGAAGCATACAGATGACAGATGTAAAAAATGATTGTTGTATAGCATGTTGTATTCCAAAGGAACTTCTCTGGCATATCTTTCCTGGCTGACATCGGTTCAGCAGTTCAAAGTAGTTTAATGGAATATCAATCTTATTTGCAACATCCATGGTCACACCAATATAAAAATTTTAAAATCCTCTACACCATTATTTCGAGATAAAGTGCTTCACATACGTTGTGCACTCTTTGTAAACTTAATTTTTTATAAAAGTTTATGGTACTTGTTATCAACGGAGGTGCCAACACTTATAAATTAGCATCATTACATTAATAAAGACCCAACCCACTCACTGTGATTCCTGTGATTGCTTGACAACACTAGCAGCTTAGAAAGATGCGATTTATTAATTTATTTTGGTTATAGAAGTGCGGGTATTGCTTTTATTTTAATCAACTTTAATCCAATTACAGCAATTAGATATCTGCATTCCACCATTTTCCTAAACCTTTTCCCGTGGAAAGTTCTTGGGACAATATTTATTTATCGTCTGCTAATTTTTATATTTATTGTATTTTCATAAAGCATTTTATTATATTTGCTGAGAAGTGAAGCAAAAGCAATATGAACTGTTCACGAAGTCACTTGCCTTCTTTTTTAGCCAGATTCATATGCAGGCAGAAGTAATTGTGGAGGGGGGGGGAACTGTTTCATCAATCTGCTGACAATAATAATAAAATAGGTTGTCAAAAGGTGTCCAGACCAAATCCATTGTTAAAAGGTGCCAGCAGATAACTGGTGATGTAGTGACAGGTATTAACACAGAAGTATGAACGTTTGTTTATAGATTGCAAAACAAGTAACAAGTTAATCAATTCCAATAAAAATAATCAAGTTCCATCATCTGGAGTTGTATGTGTTTGAGCAGTTATTACAGCTTGGGTTATTACAGGAAAAGATGGCACATCTGATGGGAAGCTGTAAAAAGCAGGTGTGGCATTATTCTTCATTGGTGGCAACACAACTGTAGCTCGAACTCCATGCAACAACTCATTGGAATTTCCTGCTGAAATACCATTCAGTAATGGTGGCAGCAGAACAGTAGCTCTAGCCCCATGATGTACTTCGTAGGCACTCCCTGAACCATGAGATGTGTATGCAGACGTGTCTTCTGATGAAAACGCTGGGGAAATTAAATGGGCATATTTTAATATATGAATTGGTATATGATAAATTTTCACTGCAGTTTGAATATGCTTATTCAGGCCAATAGAATGCTTAGAGCACGTGCCTAAACTCAGATTCAAAATATAGAACAATGATTACTAAAATATTATTGATTTATTAGAATATTTCTTACATATTTATAATTAAATTATTAATAAAGAAAAAAAACATTTACATTGGTAAAAAATGCTTTGTATCTCTGTGAGTAATAACACTATATTGATAGGACCACACACAATAAATCAGTCCTCCTCCCCAGTTTTCGTTCATAATCAGAAACTAACTTCAAATAAAATTATATGCACGGACAAAAATTAGGGAATTAATGAAAATTAATGCATCAGGATAAAATTTATATGCTACAATAATAGTATTACACATTGTAAAATAATTTTTAAAAAGTAATAAATCGATTTTAATATAAATTATTAAATATAAAGCCTAATTATATACATTACATTTGTAGCTATACCGAAATCTTAACTGCAGCAATCATCTAGTGGTGCACAATAGTTCTGTAAACTCTTGATAAGGAAAAATTAAGAACAGAGTGCTTAATACTTGTCAATTTTATGCATTTCATTTTTAATTTTGCTTCATACGCATTTTTTAATTTCAAGATATCACGTTTCACTTTACTTCCACCCAATCAAAATTTCTGACGACCAACAGCTATGCTCATAGCTTTTTCCATTGCAGTAAATATCTAAAAATCTAGATCACAATAATATTATGTCCTGAAAGCAGCCTTATAATATAAAGTACATCCACAAAGTTTTAGGACAATATTTTTAATAAATCATTCAAATAATTATTGATAGGATCTGTTGTTATGACATTAAACTTGTTTTTTCTAAAATATCGTTTACTTAGGCATAGAATTTTCTATGCAGTTAAATATTTGCTTTAATCCAGTGAACATCTGCTGACATGAATTCAAAAGCTGTGAACTTATGATTTGATTCAAATGACACACATTAATCCTGACTTTTTCAGACAAATTGTGACTGCAGATGAAGCTTGGTACTTGAAATTGAGATAAAATAGCAGTCCTTTGCTTAAGCTTGAGAAGATTCATTGCAGTTGCAGAATCCAGATGATCCATAACATTACAGGCTTTATCATAAAATCCAGATGTAAGAAAAAGGTAACTCACACGTTAAAATGAAATAATCATTATGTAGAATTTATCATTTGGTGGTATTTAACAAGATTTCTTAATCTCATTTGTTTTAAGCACGTTTAAGCAGAAAAATCTTTTGCCATCTTTTCATTTTATTTTTGTGAATTACTCATTTGAGAAGACACAACTTGTGTGACAATTTCCAATATTCATACACAATAAAATGCATACAATATTATTCGTAAAATAAAAACTAATCACAAAATTTTAAAATACTTCAACTTGCAATAAATTTTACACAATAAGTTTGAGAACATAACAGTATCCTCATTTTTAGAATACTTAATAAATCTAACAGATGGCAGCACCATCCACAGATTTATAATGGTATTTATTTTTGAAATAATTTGTAATACTCTTTGAATCTGATAAGATGGCAGCACATCCAAAAATGATTAATAATGTATTGCATTTTTTGAAATGCACAAATAAACCTCATTTTGTAAAAACATTAATTTACTTACCGCATTTTTTCAAATGGAGCAAAAGACAAAAATTGAACAAAAGAGCTTTTTCTTAGTCTTTTTGAAAAAATGATTTTAGAAATAATTTTTTTTCAAAAGCATGGGATTTTGGCATCAGAAAGGCTGTCTCAGCTAAGAATATTATGAAATGCATTTATATGATCCAAACCCATTTGATACATAGGTTCACACAGAATGCCAAAAATCATTTTATTGTTATACAGTGTGATTTCAGTACTATTTGTCAATTTTTATCTAATAAAAAACCATTATCAAATTGAACATTAAATTCAACACTAATCAATTGGCATTAATCAACCACACATGTAATAATTTATTAAATATATTTGCCAATATGTATTTTGCTAAATATTCAATAAATGTTTATTTCTTTGTATTAACAGTCATAAAATTATGCATTTAAATAACTTTTAAAGAACACAAAGAGCTGCTGATAGAAAAAGAATTAATTTCTGCATTTCTCTGCTTTAGAATAGATTACTGTTATTCAACAATTTATTATTAAATCCTGGTAAAAAAGTTTAACTTGTTTTTCAGTTACTTGTGTCAGAAATATTAGTTTCCTCTAATTAAATTATTGAGAATTTAATAAATAATCTCATAAAATGATAATCTAACATCATTCTACAAAACTGATGCCACAATAGGGCATTAAATTATAGGCAATAAATATTATGATATTAAGGCTATTAAATATTGGGGAAAGGAAAAACTAATCATGATCTTTGCAATAATACAATTTTTTTAAAATTTATAATAAAGGTATTATAACAAAGACTAAGACTAAATTAATAAAACTTTAGAGAAAAGAATGCAAAGAAAGAATATGATACTTAGTATTAAATGTTTTGTACAAAAATGTACCATTGTTATGAAGCCCATCATCAAAAAACATATGCAAATCAAGTTCATGGATGCTTTTATTAATAAAAAGACTGAGGGAAAAAAGGAAAAAAATTCTTGCTGATGTATGCAATGGAAATTTAACTCTTTTTTTCAATTACTTTTAAAGATATTTAGCAAATCTTTGTAAAATACACAGTTTTTATTATAAAATGATGTTTCTAAATAATAATTTACTGCAGCAAATAATTTAAAGAATTATATTTTGCAAATATAATAATAATTTCTTGCAAATAAGATGTGCATAATTTACATCACTCAACTGAAATCTTTATTCTGAAGTTAAATATGCCATTTTTATTTTTCATTTGATTGCTGTATGCTTCTTAATTTAATGGGTAATCAGGACTTAAATTCATGTAGAGCTCCAAAGAGTCCTGGTAGTTTAATTTATTATATAACATTAATTTAAATTGAATTATTCACTTTTAATTTATCTCTCAATTTTTCAATTTATTTTAACTAATTATAAAGTATTATTTTATTTACTTTTTGGAAAGCCTTCCATGGTTATTATTCCATAGAATTAGAAGAATTCCAACCCTTCTAATTAAAAAAAAAAAAAAAAAAAAAAAAAAAAAGTCTTCATTAAATTAATAATCTCAATTCTGAGTTATAATGCTATTGTTTATTTAAATAAAGCTTCAACAGTATCAGTTAGGCCTTTGAAATATTTTCTCAAAATAAAAAAAAACTAGGTTTGCTTCCTCATTAAAGCAGCCACCACATTCTGGCGAAATTTAAAATTACAGTGAAACCTCAGTTCACGAATTTAATTTGTTCCTGAAAGCCATTCATCAGCTGAAACAATTTTCTCCACAGAAAACTGAAATTGAATTTTGATGGAAGAAAGGACTAATTTGTTCCTTGACCATAGATGATTGTTAATTTAAACTTTACAACAGCATTTCGGTTCAGAAACCAAAACCAATGGAAATCATTAAATACAAGAAAAGATAAACACAATATTAAACAGATATAATGAATGAAAATTTAATTTTACTGAATTTGTACATAAGCAGAATGAACAGCATTAAATGAGAAATGATAAAGATGATGTTATTGTTTGGATTAGGTGTTCTCTTTTTTAAAACCGTCCAGTAACTGTCATCAGAAGGCTCAGTCTTCTACCTTTTTTTTCCTCTTTAAATCCACTTAATGCTACTCTCAATTAAGTCTCTAAAAGAATTAATTGGCCTCTAACTTAAAAAATTTGTCCAGTGTGATTTGTTGTTATCTACATTTTAAAATGTTTCTGATGTGAGATAGTTACTTTCACTGAAACATGCTTTAGCTACAACTTGCTACTGCTTTATTAGACCACTGCATGAAAATTTTGCATCTTATCACATTTTGCACAGAGACCTAAGCATCAAAGCAATCGAAATCTCTGCATGGAACCCAGAACAAATTTATGGCCCTGTAAGTCATTTTCTGCTAGGGTTCATTAATGAGAGTGAAGCAATGGAAAAAAATTAAATGATATTTTCAGAAGTCAGTGAGTGTTTATATGGCATAGATTAATTCAAAACACTTTTGAAATTCCTAAATTGCCGACTTGATCATTCATCATCTGAAGAATATTTTGTTCAGATAATTTGTTCATGAACTGAGTTGAGATGTTTGTGATCCTAAGTTTTACTGGAGTAGCATTAGAAAGGACATTATGAAAATCAATAAAATTTGCTAATTCTCTTATATTCTTTCTGCCGTGCATTGCGATAATAAACATGGTTTTCATGTGTATTAGAGGGTGACCCCATAGCCAATGCAAACCAGTGCAGCCGCATGAGGCAACAGGAATTTGGGGTGGCAAAGTTTTAAAATTTTGCGAGGCATCGTATGGTAGAATTTAGAAACCACAGACACTGCAATGGATGGGAAAATGCCTAGCGCAGACTTTGCAAGTCTTAAAAATCAATCATTTCATGTGATAAAGACAACAACTGACAGTGAATTCGTAGGCATGTTTCAGAGGGTAGAAGGATTCAAAAACATCCGTTCAGATGTTTCAGAATGGAAATATGAAAAATGAAGAATCAAGTTTTCAAGCTTCAAATAATGAAGAAATCATTCGTTGGTTGGTTGGTAACGGAGGACGGGGACACCTGATGTCTAACAGAGGTAAACAGGCATGTGTCCCGGCCCTCCACTAACCCTGATACCTCAAGAGGGCACCTCAGGAGCTTTTTAGGATGTTAACATTCTTCATTCATTCGATGCATTTTTTGTTCAGATTACTTGTTTGTGAACTGAACTTTTCACGATCTGAGGTTTCAATAAAATCAAAGGAATATTATGGGAACCTTAAAAAAAAAAAAAAAAAAAAAAAAAAAAAAAAAAAAAAACCCACAATGTACAGGGAGGAGGAAGTAACATCTATTGAACTTTGTAGAAGCCATAATTCAACAGCTATTGCCATTATAGAAACAAATATTGTATTTTATGACTTTCATCCACATTTAACTGTCAATTGCACTATTTAATGAAATTTAATTTTTCAGCCCAACAGAATATGAAATGCAAAGCAGTACGAAAAGAAATCCTAGAACGATGAAACTAATTATCATCATATAATTAGAATTAATTAATAACAGATATTTAAACTTACATTTTGGAGATAACTTTTCTCCTTTTTTCTTTGCTTCAGCTTCTCGAGGTTTTCTTTTCCTTCGTTGTATTGCATCTTTCTTCATACTAAGCGGACGAGATTTCTAAAAGAAAATTAAGAGAATTTGTACAGTTTTGACAAAATTCAAATAAACATATCTCTAAAGCAAATTATTGATTTAAATAAATTCTTTTTCTTTCTTATTAACAGTTATCAATAGTTGAGGTAAAGAGATATGCAAGCTTAAACACACACACAATTTTTAAAACAAATGAAATAATAAAAAGCTTCCTCTAACTTGAAGTTTATTATTTTCACAAATCTTTATGCACATAATGCAAATGCAGAGGGGGTATAATTATTAAGGTAGCATAATATTTTGAATTTGTTACCATTTCATCTTTACGTTTTGCATGTTTATGTACCATCTTAAAAAATCATGCATGTTTTCAAAACTCTTGCTAATTGGTAAAAGTATTTCTTAAAAATGCAGAAAACCTAATAATGATACTATTGAACTGTCAGACATAATTTCATTTTTATATTTTTGCTCAAAAATGTTTTGTCATATTCTTAATCTGAATTTTCTAATTAGCTGCTTATTACTAATACTACAATCTTATTAAAAATGTTGCTATTTTGAAGAAAAACTAAATAAACTAATTATTAGTTTTCATTATTTATTAAATTAGTATTCTTCCTTTTAGTTGAGACAAATGTTTTCACTTTGCGGACTTTCATCTAAAACAGGAACCAAATATTTCAGTCATTTTCATAGAAATTTATATAGTTGACAGATTCATTTATACAGTTTATACGCATACGGTTACAACTGTATGAATTTATATGGATTAGTTTACATGCAATTTAATTAAATTATAGTTATAACTACATGAATTTATATAGTTGGCAGATTAATTTTTTTCAAATAAAAAGTAAATAAAAATTGTATATTATAAATTTTTAATCAGACACAATTTTATACATGACAGGATACCCATACCTCCAATTATTTAATATACATCACATTAACAACAGTTTTATTTGACTTTTATTTTGAAAAAGTTGGTCTCGGACATATATTTTCTAGTAGATAAATGTTTGAAATGACACAAGTATTCATGTTTTGGCTTTTATAAAACATTAATTTTGCAAAAATTACAAAAATCAAACTTTTCATATGTTTCCGATCAAAATTAAGACTGTGAGTCAAAGCCCCAGTGAAAAATTTTCAGAAACATATAGAGGCCAACCTAAGACATGACTACACTGGACGTCAACAACTTGCATGAAATAGGTGTACTCTGAGAAAGTTTGTTTAATCGTGCTGGTCCATTGGACAAAGGGCAGCAGGTTAAAAATATGGAAACATGGATTTTTGCATAATTAAAAACATTTCTGTTACTGGAAATGTACGCCTGCAACCAATGGTTGAGAAAATAATGGCTGGGTAAGGACTTTTCTGGAACTGTGTGTATAATAGTAGTTAACATATCCTTCTTCACAAACATTAAAGTGGCTTATCATGAATTAACTGACCATGACAAGTATTTTATGACTGGATAGTGATGTTATGCTTATCCATTATTGGCACTAAATAACACTTTGGTAATTTATTTATTTATTTATTTTATTTATTTTATTTTATTTTTTATTTTTTTTTTTTTGTTCCGCATCATTGTTCTATGCATGGTATATTATGGCTTTACAAGTCTCATTTACATAATATTCAGGGAGGGGTGAGAAGTTTTCTAAAATTTAAAAATCTATATAATAAATAAAAATACATATAAAAAAATTGAAAGTTTTCAGATTTTATATTATGCCTAAAGGGTTTTTTTTTAATGTTTTGTCTGCTACCTTTAGTTATTAAGTATCACGTTCTTTGCACTTAAACAATAAAATTCAATTCAACAGTAAAATCACAAAGTATTTAAAAAAAGCATATATTTAGAATTTATGATACACTGTCTCATGTGCTGGAGATACAAATGTTTAATTCCATACAGTGTTGCCACTAATCGCTTCAAATCATGGAGTCTTAATCAAAAATTCATTAACGTTTTACACACTATGAAATTTAAAATTCCAAATCCGGACTTCCAGGTGCTCATGTTTAGGTGGATGGCTATATTATTCAAAATTTGACGATTCTAGGTACAGCCATTTTTTCACAGTTCAAGGAAAATACATACATACATGCAGATTTTTTCCCCCATATGGTGTTGCCATTGCCCGCTTTGAAATTGTCAAGTTAGTTGATCAAAAATTCATTAAAATTTTACAAAATACGGAATAGAAAATAAAACAAGTTCCAAATTTGAACTTCCAGATGCCAATATTCGAGTGGAGGACTACGTTATTCAAAATTTTATGCCTGTAGGTACCGTTGTTTTTTCAAAATGTGAAAAACATACCTACATTCATGCCAATTCTTCTTTATTTAATTCCTTTAAACATAATGCAGGGCTCTAATATTTGGTGACAACAATTTGAAAACTGAAACACCATTTTATAGTGGACGATGCAAAATGCCAAAATGAAATTAAATAGCACTTCTGGGCAAATAATCCTCCGGGCTTAAAGAATAAAAATAATATGTATTTTAAAAATAGTTGAATGCTGAATAATCGAGCTTTTACTATATATACTTCCTTGTTAAGTGTTCATTAATGCATGCCAATTTTGACACAATAGTGCGTATCTCAATAGCAGTTAAAAAAGGTTTTGATTTACAGTATAATGAACAGGACATTTTTCTGGCAGTGCAATTTCCTTAAAATTAGCAAGCAACAGCCTTACGTTTGGTGTAGATTTTAGTCAAGACTATCGATTTTAAGGGAGTTCCTCTTTATCAGGAGAAAAGAAATCTGCATTGAAGGAAAAGTCACATCTATTTTTATATCATAAGCAAAGCAAAGTGAAATAAGAAGGTAGCATCGTCTTCATTTTCATTTGCTACCTTCAAGGTACCTGTTTGCTGTATTGAGCTACCTTCTCGTATGCTTTGCATTTTATATAAATACGAGGGCTATTCAGAAAGTAAGGAACGTTTCCATCTGACGTCACTATGTGCGCGCCAATCACTTATATTTTGGTGTCTGCATGCTCGGCATCTCAGTCGGCATTCAGCCATCACAACGGGAACATTTCCACGCTGCCTATTTAAAAATGGCTTGTTTGAAATTGTCACAAAAGCTAGGCTACTGCAAATTTTGTGCAAGATGGGTGCCGAAATTGCTTACAGACCACCATAAAGGTCAGTCAATGGGGGCAGCTTTGACATTTCTGGAGGCCTATGACAAACATGGTAATTTATTACTGGATCGAATCGTAACTGGTGACGAGACATGGGCGAGACACGTGAATTGCGAGACAAAATTACAGTCCATGCAGTGGGGAACACAAGTCCCCCAAAAGACCAAGAAAATGTTCGCAAACCTTGTCACCAAAGAAGATTATGGCGAATGTGTTTTATGATAGGCAAGGTGTGCTTCCGATTGATTTTCTCAAACCTGGTGCCACAATAAACTCTGAGCGGTACGTTGAAACTTCGCGCAAATTTAGGAGAGCAGTTCAAAACAAGCGCCGAGAAAAGTTGACGTCCAAAATTTTGTTTTTGCACGACAACGTCCGACCTCACACAGCAAACCGCACTCAAGAAATCCTTAATTCATTCAATTGGGAGGTTTTCCCTCATCCGCCCTATAGTCCCGATCCTGCACCTAGTGATTTATTTACACTTGTTTCCAAGAATGAAGAACGGGCTAGTAACACTGCGCTTTGCTGACGACAAGGAGCTGCAGGTGCCCGTCACTGAGTGGCTAAGATCGCAGGCGGCAGAATTCTATGATGAAGGAATTTCAAAGCTTGTCCACCACTATGATAAGTGCCTCAATTTGTTTGGTGACTATGCAGAAAAGTATAATTTTAGTCGCTCTTTCTGATGTATATAATATTTTTTCCCCTGATACTTAGCTTCTTTTTAATTCCAAAACGTTCCTTACTTTCTGAATAGCCTACGTATGATTGTGGCTCCTCCCTTCTTTGCAGCTTTTCTGTGGTCCTGATGAACAGGGACCTATACCTGTTTGCCCTCGAAATCAATAGTTTAGACTAAAATTTATGCTAAACAAAAGGTTGTTGTTTTGCTAATTTTAGATTTTACTTTGGCATGTTTCTTCCTGTTCAGTTATCTTCTTCCTTCAAAAACTAATAAATTAGAGGAGTATGAATATGACAGTACTTGGAATATATTTATGCAATAAAATTTTTAATTTATATTCAGAATAAATCATGGCACTCACCTTATGAAGTTTCTCGTACAAACCACAGGCATTACATACAAATTCTCCATTTAAATTTCGCCTCCAAAGGGTTGTCACAAGTGTTGAGCAATTATAGCATTTTTGATTACCTTTATTTCCTGGCTGTAAAATATACTTAGTTATATATCAAACAAATATATTTTAATGTACAGCATTATACTTAGATGAAAATATTTCATAAAATATATTTAAAATAGCAGAGCTCGGGTGAAATGCTGTTTAACTCATTGCTTGGTGGCAAAATATCTTCATGATAAGCATGCAATGCTGTCAACCTTTATATTTTGTGTTCGAGGAGTGCAATGAACTTTTTAAAAAAATTTATATTCAGTGAAATCATGCACATGCGCTATATAGCATCATAAGAACGTGTTTAAACAGCATAGCATTTAATTAAAATTTGACTAATTATTGTTAATATTTAACCCTTTGCGGCATGGTGGGTCAATATATGACCCACCTAATTAATATTTATTTTCTCAGTTAGCAATTTCCGTTAGAAATTAAATAATCTATTTTATTGTTTTTCTCAGTAGATGTCACTACTATACCAGGGCTTCATATGTATGTATCAAATTTTAATCTTAAAATAATATTCAAGAAAATATTTTCTTTTTTCCTAAAATTTAAAAATATTAAATATATATATATATGCAAAATGTGCTATGCAAAATTTTACAAGTCATGCATATAAATAAGTACAAATGCATTTTAGTGTTTATTATGAATATTTTAGATGTTTATTTTGTTTATTCATTCCACTATGATTTTTTTTCCTGCTGTACACCAATGCTATAAGACATGTGCTAGTGCATGGTGGGACAAACGGTTTATCCCACCTTCCCCCATAATAAATAAAAGCACAGAATTTTTTTCCAAGCCTTAAATGCACTTAAGTCCATCTGACTTATTCTATTATAATTCTCTCTTATTATTTTTTTAAAGATTAAAATATATTTTAAATATGCGTGTCGCAAAGGGTTAAGGGATTAAAGATTTCATGCAGAACAATCATGCATTTTTTGTTCGGTAGAGGTAAAATTACTTATTGTGAGCAGTTTTTTTTCAGTAGATGTTTTAGATGTACAATTTTTTATGCATTTTTTGTTCAGTAGAGGTAAAATTACTTATTGTGTGTAATTTTTTTTTCAGTAGACGTTTTATATGTACAATTTTTTACTTAGATGAAAATACTTCAGAGAACATTTAAAACTAGGGTTTTTAATGGAACCTTTTCCAATGAAAATAAGGCGCTAAAGCTTTTATATAATAATAATAATAATCTGAAAGTTTTTAGATTTTTTATTATGCAAATGGACTTTTTTTAATGTGTGATTAGAGCTAAAGAGATATGTTTTTACCTACATACCATTGCTCACTTTAAAATCATTGTTAATCAAAATTTGCTAAAAGTTTATGAAAAAATATAATAAAATTCCAAAATTAGGGTTCCAGATGGGGGGGGGGGGGGGAAAAATTGTTCAAAATTTGATGGCTCTACATACCGTTGTTTTATCACAATGTGAGAAATATACATACATTTATGCAGATTCGTCATTATTTAACTTCTTTAAGTATAACACAGGGTGATAATATTTGGTGTTAACAATTTGAAAAGTGATACAGCCTTTTAAAGTTTTTAATGCAAAATGCCAAAACTAAATTAATAGCCCTTTTGGGCTAGCGCACTTTGGGCTAAAAAGAGACACAGAGAGAAAAGAAAGGGATAAAAAGCAGAACAACGGCTATTTGATAATTTTTTACAGTATAGGGTTTCCCTTTCAAACAATAGCATTTTGCATTTTTCGCTCCTGCACCATTTTCTACTTGCATCATCAATTTTCCTTCGTAGGCTTACAGTAAAATTAATTCTTCTAGTTTTCATAATTTTTATAATTTAGTATCGTGTAAAATATTGTGGATATATTATTACTATGTATGCATTCCATTGGTTTTTCATTCCAAACATATACAGTCAAAAGTCTTTAATCTGGACTCGTCGGGACTTTGGCGATTCCGGATTATCGGTATTTTCCGGATTATAGATCATCAGTTTAAATCTGGTAAGATGGCATGCAGAAATTATAAAATTTAAAATAATTAAATCGTAATTTATGAAATAAAGAGCAATTGCGTAAAGCATACATTACGCGTAGTCAAAATTAGAAAATTGCAACCAGAAAACTATTTGATGTGTATTCGTGATATTTATAATGACGAGGAATTTGATTTAAATCGTATCAAAGACCGAGTACATCGAGATGAAATACTACATTTAGTAAGGAATTATAAGCCAAATAAAATAAAACATCTGCCCTGAAGATAAGGATAGTGCTGACAGATCAACTTCCAGTTCATTGTGCGCAGCGACGCATTATTTATGTTATTTTCATGTTAGAGTTGCTGTATTATCATACATTTTATGCCAACATTTATATGTGGAATCAAGTGGTGGCTGGGCTACAAATCAAAAAGTTCCATTATATCTAGTACAAAATTTTCATTTTGTGCATTTTTTCATGTAGGGTATCTGCAAAAATACTACTAAACTGTAGTTTCAAAAAGACTCAATTGCCACACAGAAAATATTAACTAACCAGGCCCTTCTTTTTCTTCTTTGCAGATGATTCCATTTCTTGCATTTGAGAGTCTGCACTGCACTGCTGGCACAGATAATGACCCTTCATGTGACAGCGCCAGAAAATGCTGGTTGAAGTGCCACATTTTACGCACTGCTTTCTGAGTTCTTCAGAACTTACATTCAAGAAAGGATTTTCTTCAGTATCTGTATAACCTACAAATAAAGAAAATTAATTTATTCACATAATTTCAAATACATCAATCAGTTCAAGAGTTTACAGTACGGGATGCAAAACCGAACACTAGAAGTTGTAAATCGCCCCATCCCCCCCCTCGGTGTGTGCATGGAGGTAGGAAAGGAAGGAGGGGCCAACCAGCGCTAGGAGTGAAGCACTGCTTTGAAGCTTGGGTCACCAGATGGGGTGTTCTTTGTTTACATTCAGAAGCTCACTTGACAAGATTCTGATAGTATTTCGACACACGACAGTTCCATAGAAATCGAAAAAGGGACACTCTCGCATGAAAGAAACATTCATAGTGTGATGGATAATAGCAATTTTGTATAGTTTAGTGACATTTATGCAAAAATCACATTTTGGTTATTTTTCGATAACTAACAACAGCAATTTTGATTATGAATTTGTTTTATAAAATTCTAAGCTGTTGAACTACTAAAATATAGATTTTAAGAAAAATGTTATGCTTAAAGAATGAAAAATACCTTACGGTAATAATTAAAATTGTATATGTCTTTCGATACCCTTGATAGAGTATTCGCTACTTTTATTTTATTTTCTAAACGCCAAAATGTTTTAAATAAAACAAATTTTTTTTCACACCCATATATTATTTAACATGTACCTTTTAAAATTTTTTAGAGGAGAGGCTTTACTGCTGCCCATTTTAAACTCATCGTTTTAATTTTATATATCTGAAAAATAATCACTTTAGGCTTACATGTTTTACTTATTTGGGTTAATTAAAAATAAAATTACCATCAAAATGCTGCAATCCTCGTCAAAATTAATATACGTATATACACACAGATATGCCAATAAGTTAGCTTTCCTTTGATTTAGAACCACACATTTGTGTAAAATTATGTACAGTTTTACACAAATGTGTGGAACAGAAGAGGGATACATTTGCGAATTTGGCGGAAGTACCATGTGCGGTCAAGATAATGTGACCATGTGAACGTGCTACATGATCAAGACAGCTTATTAAGAATTTGAAAATAGGGTAATCGATGGAGGTGAAAACATTTTTATATCCTGCCAAAAGAGCAATCATGAATGGTCCTCTTATTGATTCCAGATTGTTAAATGTTTCCCACGCAAGTCTTTTTTTTCTCGGAAATTAGAGTTTTATGCTGGCTTCTTAACGTACGCAGTTCATTAAATTATTTATAAATGTATTTGAAATGAAGAATTTATTCACTTATAAACAACTGTGAAAGTACTGTGAAGAAAATTTAATTATTAAATGTATCTAATTTATAATGATTATAAATGTTATCTAAATATATAATAACCTTAATATTGAATTGTAAACATAAATCAAAATCCTGTTGACAAATATGTTATATGAGGGCCATCCAGGAAGTAGATTACGTTTCCGTCTGTGTCCGCTAGGGGCGGGGCTAGCGCGGCCATCTTGGGGTCAGAGCGTTGCGCAGCTCAGTCTGCATCTAGCCGTGCTAGTGAGAGGTTCGTGCTGTGCTCCGTTCAGATACTGTGACGGTTTGAGATGTCTGCGTTAATTGAAAATCCCGCGAGCTGCGAGGTGCGCTCAGTAATAAGGTTTCTGACTGCAAAAAACTGTAAACCGATAGAAATCTATCGGCAGCTTCGTGAAGTGTATGGGGACAACATTATCACTGAAGGTGGAGTGCGTCAGTGGGTCATAAGATTTCAAAATGGCCGAACCAATGTTCACGACGAAGATCGAAGTGGGAGACCCAGCATAGTGACCGCCGAACTTCTCGAAAAAGTCGATGCTAAAGTCCGTGAAAATCGAAATTTCACGATAACGGAACTTTCTTTTTGAGTTTTCCACAAATTTCGCGAAGTTTGTTGCACGAAATCATCAGCGAAAAGCTTGGTTACCACAAGTTTTGTGCAAGATGGAAGGCAAGAAGAGGTAACGAAGTGGTTGAAGGCGCAGGCGGCCGAATTTTTCGACGAAGGAATTTCCAAGCTCGTACATCGCTACGATAAATGCCTTAATTTGTATGGTGACTATGTAGAAAAGTAGTATTGAGAGGTGGGCTTTCATCTGTATATAATAAAATTTGTTTCCTATACTTTGTTTATTTTTTATTCCAAAACGTAATCTACTTTCTGGATAGCCCTAGTAAAACTATTTAAGCAAGAATTGTTCATATTGGAATGCAATCTGTTAAAAGGTATTGTAAAGCAAATGCTATGAGATACACACTTAAGAACGTAATAAAGAGTTTTGGAATATGTATTATTGAAATGAAGGGTAAAAAAAAATCTGATAAGTATAATTAAAAGGAATTATTCCCTTACATTTTATAATAACTCAGTTACAAGTTTTAAATAATACTTAAAAAAAAAAAAAAACTTATTTATTCCCTTTCAGAAATGTTCAGAGAAAGTCAAGTACTATTAAAGTATTTCACTAATTCCTAATAATTCTCTAATTTAAAATGAACAGAATAGAGCATTAATTATAAATTGACTTACATTTTTCGATTTAAAAGATGCCTCAGAAGCCAAAAAATCATATCATATTTAAGAAAGTATTTTTAAAAAGAAGGTCTATAAATAGAAAGAAATAATGGGGGCATAATTTTAATATTAATAATACCATAAACTTTGATCTTAATTTTTATACCTTAAGCGAATAAAATCGAATTACCTTAATTTCTTTTTCTAATGTAATTAACGAAAATTTGTGAAAATACTTCATTCAAATTAAAACCATTCTGAGAAAAGTGTCCTGTGAAAAGTATAGCATTTAATTCCGTTCAGAATGAAATGTGTTGTTTAAAAAATGTTGTTTTTCATATACTTAGGACTCTGAAGTGTTGTAGAAAAAAAAAAAATATATATATATATACATTTATATGTATATTTACGACGTAATTACAAAATATTTACATCCGAACGCGTCAAATCCCACTGAACTCAATGGTAAATGACCCAATGTTTTGGTCACCACGTAGGGATCGCCGGTGCTTCAGAGCAGGGTACGGGAGAAACTTGTTTAGGGCTACTCCATCTTACTTCGTACCTCCATGGGTGTGTGTGTGGGGGGGCGGATTCTTTACGTGCGGAGTTAACCAGTCATCAATGAACCAATTATCATGGTGAAAAGGAGGCAGAGCTTAAATTGCGCAGGAGTCCACCGGAGCCCAGCTCCGGTACTTCTCAATTTTCGAGATAAATTGTAACTTCAGCCAGAGTGCACCGGAGCCCTAAATAAGAGGGCGCCGGCACTTCCTTTATGTAAGTAAACCAAAATTTTAGCCGATATATTTTGCTTTTATAGTAAAACATGCCTTGAAAATCAGTTCTAACTTCTGAATGTAGGCCTGTCTTTCCCTCGCACTCAAGCCTTGCACACAGGTTGAGACTGTTGTCACTTGTACAGAGAATTCTTATGTTTATTCTCACGTTGTACTCAGAAAAAATTATTCAGGAAACATATTCAGGGAAAATTTCTACTTGACGACTAGAATTATATCTACAGAGCATCGCGATCACAAAGTCTTGAATTCTTCCCTCTTCATTTTCAAAGCTACATCTTCATACTGTTTCTAGAATTCTCACTTTTTTCCTTAGTGGAGCTTTAATCGTTTTACCTTTTTTCCTTGGTGTGCTGCAAAAATAGAGTGGTACCTGTCATACTTTGGAATAGTACATTATACGCATAATCAGGGCTTAAATTCAGACGGAGATCGGCTGAGCTGCTTCTTAGTATGTAAGTGGACTTGTAATTCTAGCCGATGCGCCAAATAAGACAAGGTCCGATACTTTTTTTCTATTTAACTATTTAAAATTAATTTAACAACTTGTTAGATTTTTGTTTATCTCTTTACTTTTTTTAAATTTATTATTTATTTAATTGATTTAATTAATTAATTAATTGTTAAATTAAATTAATATTAATTTAAATTTTTGAATAATTTATTTTAATTTAGTTTATTTTTATTTATTATTTTTTTTCTTTCCTCCTTCACAGTGTTCCATAGGGCTCCACTTCTAATTTTAGAAATTAAGCGCTGAATGGAGGAGATGATGGATATATTGAGAAACATTTTCGTGGGAGTGTGGAACACAGAAATGGGAAGTTTGAATAAAAGCTCGACTATCCGGGATGCACAGGAAATGCCGAATTCTGGATAACTGAAAGTATAATCCAGGTCACGTCAGAAAAGCCAAATCAATGGAAGAAAAAGCAACCAGTTTAAAATTATAAAAAGAGTCATTTTATTTGTTATTAACCTGAACAACACTTACATTTAAATAAAGTTAGAATTCGGAAGAAAAAAAAGGCATTTCAGATATAAACGCTAAACGCCGAAGTAAAACATTATATTCGAGCAAAAAATTCTACCAGCCATGAAAATTGGAGGAGAAACTCGCCAGACTTGCGTCAGAGATTTTGGCAGATGTTTGAAGGAATATATCACTCTTTATTCAGTAGTAAATAACAAATAGAATCAACATACACAAATTACAGACATAACATATAAAAAGGTTTAGATGGCTTATCATAATTTTTTACGTAGCACAGAAATTTTTTTATTTATTTTCGTTCAAATCGTACTTTTGTTCGTGCCAGGAGTACAATTTTAAGTATCCAGTACAATTTTAAAAGTTCTCCACTGTATGCTGTTCTATGAATGCGTCTCATTTGATCATTTTTTCAAAATGTGACTTAAAAAAAACAGGCAAACAGCAGATCATTTATATAGCTTTTTACAAAAATTAAACCAACGTTCTGAGAATTAATTGGGTTTTTAAAAGAGAAAATCTTGTGATTGCCATGGACCTTATAAGAAATAGACTAACCCAAACGGGTTTTCTCCCTCGTCTGAGGCGTTGCCGGCTGTCACCTTGATCACATCCGGAGGAGTAGGGACGACTTGCAGAAATTTAACATTGGTTGCCTATTGCAGCGTGTATAATTGTCAAGACAAAGCTGGTTGTAGCGCCTCATTTCACAAATTAGAATTTCTACATATTTTTATTTTTGAAATTGAGATTGAATTTT